TGATTTGTCTGAATGCCAAGCTTCCAGGAATTCCCTAGCATTTTTGGATTTAGCTTGGTCTTGAAACTATGGTTGAGACTGTGGTTTCAAACATAGTTGAAACGATGGTTGAGTCTGTCCACGTGTTGTGAGATTAAGGAGTTTTCATCATGTCTTCTGACTGCTACCTGGTGTTCATGGATGTGTTTTGCTAGTCTTCTGCCTGTCTATCCTACATAGTGGTTGTTACAGTTCTTACACTGTATGTTGTAGACAACTCCTGTTTTTTCTTCTTGGGTTGCTGTGACTTTTGGTTTACTTAAGATGCTTTGGAGGGCTTTAGTTGGTTTGTGTGCTACAGTGATGCTGTCTGGTTGTGGTAGTCTGTTGGTTGTTTCTGAGATGTTTTTGATGTATGGCAGGGTTATCCTTTTCACAGCTTGTGTTGGTTGTGCTTTAATGGGTTGAGAGATCAGGCACTTTTTGATAAAGTTGCATGGGCATCCATTTTGTTGGAAGATGTTGTATAGGCTGTCTGTTTCCTTTTTCTGGCATTCTGGGTTGCTGCAGTGCATTTGAACTCATTTGAATAATGTTCTTACACAACTCCTCTTGTGGGAGGTTGGGTTGTTACTTTGGTAATGGAGCACTTGGTTAGTATGGGTTGTTTTTTGATAGACTTGCATTTCTAATTTGCTGTCATTTCCTCTGCTGATGAGGATATCCTGGAAGGGGAGTGTGTTGTTTTCTTCTTCCCTTGTGAATTTTATTCCTTTGAAGATGTGTTGATTGTTTCATTTGTCTTCTGTAGTTGTTCCTTTTTTATTATGACAAAGGTGTCGTCTACATACTGGATCCATATTTTTGGTTGTATGTGTGGGAATGCTATAGTTTCTAGATGCTATGTTACAGGTAGTCCTCAACTTACAACCATTCATTCAGTGACCAAAGTTACGACGGTGCTGAAAAAGGAGACTTATGACTGGTCCTTGAAGTTGTGGCCATCCCAGCACCCTGCAGTCACATGATCACAATTTGAATGCTTGGCATTCACACTTATGACCAGTTGCTGAGCACCTTGCAATCACATGATCACCATTTGCAACCTTCCATGCTGGCTTCCCCAGAAAGTCAAAGAGGAAGCTGGCAAGGAAGATCACAAGTTGCTGGCATAAGTCTCCCCCACCCATGCACCCTCCTCCAGCCCCTCTGCTCACATGCTGCCACATGTGCATCCCCATGCACTCTTCCCGACCCACATGGTGCCTCTCACACACCCTCTCCAACCTGCGCGGCACCTCTTGTGCACCCCTGCACCCCCTACCTGACCCGCACTACACCCTCCCCAACCCGCACGGCACTCTCGCGCACCCTCCCCGACCCATGCTGCACCTTCACGCATCATCTCCAATTCACACAGTGCCTCTTATGCACCCTCGCACACCCTCCCTGACCATCCCTCGCACATCCCCTCACTCCTTCCCCCACCCAGCAACAGCCACTTACCTGCCTGCCGGCCTGGGACTTGGCAATTTCCTGCTGGCTTCCCCGCTGACTTTGGTTGTGGGAACATGGGATTCAGTTAACAATGGCAACTGGGACTGCCGGGATTGCCGTCTCTAAGCGATGGGATCACACTTTATGACCGTATTGTTTAGTGATGGAAATTCCAGTCCCAATTGTCATCATAAGTCAAGGACTACCTGGACGGTCTGTTCTATCAGTCCTGAGAATGGTGATCTCATGGGTGTTCCTCTGATTTGTTGGTATATTTGTCCATCAAACTGAAAGTAGATAGTGAGGCAGAGGTCCATGATTCTGGGTATTTCGGTCTCAGGATACAGTATTTGGTTAGGTCAGGTGTATTGTGTAGTAGTGCTGCTGTGGATTCTTTCACTAGTTCTGGATATATGGACATATATATCCAGTGCTGTGGACGTCAAATGAAACCATAATTTCATCTTCTTCTATTTTTAGGTCTTTGATTTTTCTGGAGGCGCTGTAGTAGGGAGTAGATAGATCCCAAATTTTTTGTTCTCTGATTCTGAAAAGCAGATGGCCTGTCATGAAGTGCCTGAGGGCATTATTAGTGGCTGGGGAGCTCTCTGCAAGAAGAGGTTCCTTCCTTAAAAAGGATCTTCTACAATTTCAAAGAAGCTCTTCTCTCCAGGTACAAAAAAATCCTAAGAACTTCTCTTAATTTCTGAGAATTCTCAGACAAAATGTATGTCTCTTTAATTGCAATACTTCTGTGACAGATACTGTGGTCTGTAGTCCTTACATCTCTTCATAACCTTTGTCTGCTGGTCTTAGAACTCCAGGTTGCTTCCTGTGAGAAGTATTCAACTGAGCACAGTTCTTGGCACTTCCAATTTTACTGTAAAGAATCGTGAAAAACATGACAAAGAATCCACCAACCAATCCTTAATGAAAACTGAAGATCTCTTTGAGGCAACATCTATACATGAAAAAACTAAAGCTACATTTCAGGAAGCTGTGGACATCTTCTGCAAGCGTGATATCCACCGCAAGGGCCATGTAGACTTCATCTATGCAGCTCTGAGGAAGATGCCAGAATATGGAGTGGAGAAGGATGTCAATGTGTACAACAAAATCTTGGATGTCTTCCCTAAGAAAGTGTTTATTCCTCAAAATATTTATCAAAAAATGCTCAAATACTACCCCAGGCAGCAGGATTGTGGTGTCCATGTGCTTGAACAGATGGAGCACTATGGTAGGTACATAAAAGAGCAAGAGGGCCATCAAGGGTGAGGAAATTTTAATGATATTTATATGAAAAAAAACATGGGATCCTCCATCCCCACAAATTGGCTTTCAATTTAAAAAATGCTCTATGTGTTACATGAATAACCTTAGCATAGGATGTTGACCAACACTGCTGATAAAATAATTGTTAATGAAGAACTTTCCAGTCACTTGGAGAAGTTTTTTCTGGTTTTTGCTTTGGAAAGATCTTTACAACATAGTTCATTGGTTGTAGTGGGATATTATGTATTTTTGTTCATCTTAATGTGAAGAAATGGAATAATTTTGGGAAGAAAGTGGTGGAGCACTACCGTTTGTACTTGCTGTTGAACCAACCAGTTTGAAGTCAGTTGCTGACATGAAGGCATTCAGATGTTTTTGGAATTCCACCTGGCTCTGAGAAGCACGCTGTTGATTTCACTGAGCAATCTGCTCCCCTTGGCTCTTTCTGTCAGCGGCAGACCAACAAATCTGGATGTTTATGTCCATGGTTTCTTTCACTGATATCTCACTCTTTGCAGATAAGTGTCAGTAATGGGTACATAAAAAACAGTTTCTTCCCACTCCTGACAAGCTTGTCCTTCCTCTTGTCTTAAAGGTGTCATGCCAAACAAGGAGACCAGGTCTTTGCTGCTCGAAATCTTTGGTGATAGAAGCAACCCTGTAAGGAAATACCAGAGGATCATGTACTGGTTTCCTAAATTTAAGCATATCAGTCCTTACCAAGTCCCAACTCCTCTGCCAGAAGATCCTATTGGACTTGCAAAGTTGAGCTTGCAGAGGATTGCAGCTGACCTGAATGCCAAGGTTACAGTACATCAGGTAAATTGAGAAATTGGGAATCCTGCTAGTACAGACGATGATCTACTTTGCAGTTTGAAATGATTAGCTTCTCTACTAATTGGAAGTACTGATGTTTTCTTTGAATGTAGTACTTTTCCTTTACCATTTTGTGTCAAAACATCCAAATTCCTCAATAGAAAAGCTCAAAATCCTGAGCTCTTGGCCTTTTATGATATATGGGCCACTGGCTTTGTGTGAAATGTATAGCTATATTCCTGAAATCAGAGAAGACTTTTAGCAAGTTAGGTTTAATTATGAAAATCTTAACTTTTTAAGAGAAAAACCCCCAAAGTTAAGAGCTCTCAAGGAAATGAAAGCTAAATCTGAAAATATTCTGGAAGCATGTATAAAGTGTAAGTCTAAAAGAATTATACTTCCTTCCCTTATCCATCTACTCCTCTACTCATATATCATCTCCTCCTCCTCCTCCTTCTTCTTTTTCATCCTCATCCTTATCTTCTGTCTGTTACTTGCTTCCTGTAATTTATTCTGTTGCCCCTTTCCTAAGATTTGTGTCACCAATGAATAAAATCTATCCTAATGTTTACAGATCCCCCACTTGGAAATTCTGGACTCTGAAAAAGTAATTAATCATCCACATATCGTAGGTACTGATCTCTTTATGTCTTGTTGTTGTGCTGGCTGGATAATCTCAGATTTAAGGACTGAATGAATATGCAACAAAACTGGGACTTCCATCACAATGCCTGTAGGTGCCACTGTACCGACAAATAAGACTAGGAGGCTTCTTTAGATATGTTCAAAATGAAAGGAAAAGAAAAGAATCTTACCAGCTGCTCAGTGAAGAAGGCAAAAGGCTAAATGGCAACAAAAGGGCAGTCCTATTTAATTGCAGCTTTAGTTTTCTCTAACAAAAATGAAAGTGTGAAGGGCAGGATGAAGGGACTGATGCCTGACTGGCAAACCCATGGTGGGAAAATACTTCTTTACTTTGAATGACTGTAAATCTTCAGGACCAGATTAATTTTCTCCTCTGCAAGAGGTTTTCCTCTCAGTGCAAATTAATTGATTTCCTCCTTTCAAGTGTGTGTGGGAAGTGGACCAGTCTGGTTTCTTCCTTCTTGCCTGCCTCCTTACTCCCTTCCTTTCATAGGAAACAAAGGGAACTCCTCAAAAATGGTGTGACTCTCTATATCTATATCTCTGCAGCAGCCACTGTTTGCACTCTTGTTATTTTTATAATGCATAAAGCAGGTCCAAAAAGAAGAGTTACAGATAAGAATGCAACAAGGTTTGACTTGTATAGATATTGCTTGACTTGTATAGACTTGGGAAGCATGGATATTTCTGTCCCATTTGGAGTAGATTGTTCAATCCTCATTCATTAGCTCAGAACAGAAATACAAATGTTGAAACTAGAATGGTAACAGGTTGGTCAGAAAGGAAAGAATAAGGAATTTTTTTGCATGCATTTTCTTTGCTTATCTTTCTGATAGCTAACACTTAGTTCTCCACATTTTCTAGTTATCTCATCTCTTCTAGAACTAGGAATAGATCACAGGAGAATTGTATAGTGACAGAAATGCTGTGGCAGTGAAGCTGAAATACTGATTTATAAAATTTCTTCAAGTTATAGTGCTTTGGCTGCCAGCTTAAAAATTGAAAAGGAGCCACCATGAATAGAAAGAAGGATCTAAAATTTGAAACACTCATGGAAGTTATCCAGAAATCTCAGCCTGGATTTCTTGGGATCTGGTTTCTAAACTCTTCATTGGACATCACTGATTTGCTGAGAATTCTTGTTTTGAATGAAAAAAATATATACGATGAATCTTTTTTAATTTACTAAAGAGGACATACTCTTTCCAAAGTTTATCTTTTAAAATGACTGTGGTGGTTAACCTTTACTTTATAACCTGTTCTTGTCTCTCTTCTCTGCCTTTCAGGAATCCAGAGCCCTGATCAACAGTCACTGTTGGCTTCTCATAACACTGAAAAGCCTATTTTCCTTGAGGGCCCCTTTCGCTTATGGCTCAAGAGCAAGTGTGTTTATTACTATGTGCTCAGGGCAGAGCCTTCAGAAGAAAATGTAAATTAATATTTATTATCTTTTTTAAAGGCTGCTTGTAACATTGAGCTACACATGGAAGGATGCATGTAATCACTGTGCTGAAGTGCACCAGATGGAGTTGTGTGAGCGTGTGTCAGTGCAAAATGAACTTTTAAAAAAAGGATGAACTGTGTACAGTAAATGGGCATGTGAGGAGTTAGTCATGTGGGGAGGGGAAAAAACGATCCAGGGTATGGAAATTTATCCCTACATTATAGAGTTTGTGCAGCCTAGAAATTTTAGAGATGGAAGCAACGTAACCAAGTGGGTATTTTCAAAGGAATTTGGTATCTGAATGGTTAGGAGCTATTTTTAGTGTTAAGGTCTTAGCTGAGATAGAAAAGTAAGCATTTATTGTTGGTTTTGGAAGGTAAATCTTGTTCAAGAGCTGAAGCCCCAACAAAGCATTTCCATTCTGATCAGCTACTGGGAAGTGAAGGAGGAGGGGGGAAGGGCAGCAGAATGATGGATAACATTTTTTTTTGTTTAAATAGTCCAACAACAAGCACATTAAACAAAATCTCTGCTGGAAATGCTCCAAAGCAAGTGGGTAGAAGCAAAAAGAAATGAAACTGGGGATCCCAAAAATCCTGACTGGAGAGGAAAAAGGGCTTCCAGCTACAGGAAAAATGGAAAAAAGGGGCTCATTTATGTGGATTTAGCTTAGTAAGGAAGTTTGCCTGGTGAAAGCAGAGAAAAAAACAACTGGGAGCTATTACTTGCTTCTATAGGAAAAATGTTTTTTATACTTTGTTGCATATCTGAAGGGATAGGCTGGCTCAGGAAAAACACCCTGAGCACTAGTATCCATCAGGATTAGTAGAGACCAACAACTTTACTATGCTCTGGGTATGTCCAAAACTTCGTTGAAAATTGAGAATGAGTGGTAGAATAAAATACATCATACAGATTGCTCTGCCATATCCTATGAAGCATGTAACTTTGATGGAGATGAATACAGGAATAAGTCTAATCGGATGTTTTTACTCACTTCTCCCAACCAAAGATACCGGGGTTGTGGTCAGATCATTTAATTTGCTGTTGAAGAAATAATAGTACTTCCCTGCTTCTCTTCACAGATGGTGGAAGTGATTGACCCAGAAAGGAATTTCTACTACCCCATGCATCTGGACATTGATCTGGAACGAGATGTCCTGGATGATTATGAATTTGACACAGATAAAGGTAGCCATCATATATGTGGGTGTTATCTTCTGTATGGTAGAAGTAACAAACATTCTGGACCATTCCCAGCAAGGACGAAATCCCTCCAAAAGTTAAAACTAGGAAAGGATAGGAGAACCAAGTGTTAAGGGATCCTGTTAGTTTAAACCCCATTGTCTCATATGATCATTTGGTAGAAAAATGCCTGCCTGCTTGTCTGTGACCTCTCTTATGAAAACGTAGGCTCTCAGGACCTGGGATTTGTGTAAAGTCCCATCCATAAACTGTATTCTGGGATTTGACTGCCTGAATGAAGAATTGGCCTTGGGGTGCTTACATTTGTCACTCTGATGCTTAAGTTGAGCATTTCCCACCAGTAATTCTTTGTAAGGGCTGCCTTAGAATGATGTCACTGTACTTTGTGTTTTCCCTGCAGTTGAAGAGGGCCCTGTATTTGCCATGTGTATGGCTGGGGCAGAAAACAAGGCTACCTTGGCCAAGTGGATTGTAAGCCTTCAGGAGACAAACCCTATTTTGCATGACATAGTTGTCATATTCCGCCTCACCCACAGCACTCAGGAGCTGCAGTCCAACGAAGAAATAGAGGAGGATAATGCAAGAGCACAGGCCAAATTCTTCAAACAAGAAGTTTGAACACCACTGATCGTGCTTTAAGTCATTTCAGTCATGTTATGTGAGGGCTTTGAGGACATCTTGAGCCAATGAGTTATCTGAAAAGTAATTCAGATTAAGATGTAAATTAGTAAAATATGTTTCTGATATTGCAGATGGTGGAGGATTGGAGCTTTGTAAAATAATATCTGACATAATAAAATCTCCAACTGTCTTGTGTGTATATTTAATTTCAGGCTTGGATAGCTATAGATTAAACAAACAAATTTGAGAATGCTCAAAATGTTACAATCCACGATCAAGCTTAATTCTATAGATAATAGTTAACATTTCTGTTATTTCTGTGATAAAAATGAATGTCTTGCTTAGAATTATGTTTTTGTTTCAGACAACAACTGTTTTGACAACTGATGCACCATTTAAACAGTGGCAAAAGGATATATCTAATTTTTTTGTGGCAGGGGGAAAAACACGAGTTAAATATAAGGTGTTACAAGATGCAAAGGAAAAAGGAGGATTGAGTCTACCTGATTTGAAATTGTATTTTTCAGCTTGCTGTTTGGTTTGGATGAAAGAGTGGATGTTGCTGAGAAATAGAGGGCTTTTGGAGTTAGAAGGACATGGCCTGAGATTTGGGTGGCATAGATATTTGTGGGTCAGCAAAGTCAAAGTTAATATGGATTTTAAAAATAATTATGTTAGACATGCCATATTGAGAATAAGGAATAGATACAAACCCAGGTTGTACCCAAAAACACTTTTGTGGATCTCAACACAAGAAGCATTTTATAGATGAGAAATAATAGGTAAACACAAATGGCTAATTTATCACAAGATACTAAAATATTGCCAAGGGTAATGTAAAATAAAATCAAGAGTAGAACTGGTGGCAGAGGGATATAGTTGTCATTGGTTCTCTTACTTACAATTATTAGAAAGATTTAAAGCAGAAAAAAGAATTCATGATTTTGAACATTGAAAGAGTGAGTTTGAAACAGAATTGTGTATAAATTATGAACATGTAATTGCTAAATGTATAAATTTGTACTGAAATATGAAACAGAAGAACATGTGAAAGAATATATGATAAAGTGGGCTAAAAATTTTGGTTATTATATACAGATGGAACAATGGGAAAACATGTGGCTGAAAGGATTGAAATTTACACTATGTTATAACCTTAAAGACAATTTTTATAAAATGATGTACCGTTGGTATATGTCACCAGAGAAATTGTCTAGAATGTATAAAGGCACTTCAAATTTATGTTGGAAATGTGCACAACAAGAAAGGACATTTTATCATGTTTGGTGGATGTCTAAAAAAGCTAGAAAATTCTGGATTCAAATACATACACTGATTCAGAGGATTTTAAAAATTAATATATTATTGAGATCAGAGGATTTTCTTTTGGGATTGAGGGACAAACAGTTTGAAAAAAGTTATGGAACTTTGTTTTTGTACATGATAACAGCAGCAAGATTATTGTATGCATAAAGATGGAAAGATTTGGCATTACCCACAATGGAAGAGTGGTTGGTGGAGATTATGGAAGTTGCTGAGATGGCTAAATTGACTTCCTTGATCAGGGAAAAGACAATATCTACATTTATTGCTGACTAGAAACCCGTTATAGACTTTTTGCATGAAACAACAAAATGAACTTATGATTTATGGTTTTGATGATTAGACAGGATAGATTATAGAAAGAAGAGAGTTATGTTGTAACCATAGAGTAAGAGGTAAATTTATAATTGTATTTATAACTGATGTAAAGAAGATCGGAAGCTACTTCTTTGTATCTTTTTTCTATTTTTATTTTTTTTCTTTTCTTGCACTTTTAGCTTTCTCTTTGATTTCTTTTTCCTTTCTTTCTTACTTTGCTGACATCGTAGCTGCTAATTTCTGTCCCTGTTCTGCAAATATCTCCCACAGTATTTCAAAAGTCATACCATTTTCTGTCATTTTGTCCCAAAGTTGACCAAAGACAAAAGGCAAGCCTATCTCTCTTCTCTTTTTTCTGTTTTCCTGTTATGCCTGGAATCTTTAGTCCCCTCTAGTGTCGAGTTTCTGAAATCATAACGTCTCGAATTTCTGTTATGACTTAAGGTAGATTAAATAATTTAGTTCCCACGAAGGTGCTATTTATATAATTATTTCCAAAATCTTACAGCAAAAGTCCTAATATTCCTAAAAGTCCTAATTTGTCTGTCCCTTAATTCGTTTATAACTTTTTTGAATGAAAGTCTTTAGCTTTATTTCAAATTCTTTACATTCTTAAGCTTATAGTTTTCTTTTATTCTGAAATGAAGGTAAACTCACCAGGTGACTTTGCAAACTTGTCATTTTGAAGCTCTCTATTAGCCTGAAGATAGTTAAATAGGTAATTTCCAAAAGTGATTAGAAAGTGAGTTTGGTGAACCCAGTGTCCTTAAAAAGACTTCGCCATGGTTGAAAGCATGATGGCTTTCCTTCGTCTCCTGACATTCAAACCTGTAGGAAACTGCTGTCCTGCAGTCTCCTCGTGAGGAGCAGCTGTCTGGAGCACAAGTGATCAATCTCCTGTCCTCTCATCCAGAGAGGTTCCGTGGGACTGGTCTACTTGCTGGTCCTTCAGTTGTGGCCACATTATCTCCACTCATTCAGAGATGTGCTAGCTCACCATTCCTCACCTGGAAGTCCCTGTTACTAAGATTATTTGAACATTTACCCTGTACTGCAAGAGTTTTGTGCTGGATGCTTACTGGGGAAAAGTTGCCTAGAATCCTTATGAAATGCAGCTCTTGTCTGAGGGGAAAAATATTTCCTGTCCCTTTGATTAAGTGGTCACAAAGGAGCAGGACTTTGCTAGGGCCAGTAAGCCATCTTCCTATCCATATTAATAGGCAAATCTTGGTGGGACCTTAAGAACTGTTAAGAATATTAACATCACTTGCAGACGGGGTGAAAAGCAATAGTATTTTATTTTAAATTCAAAAATTGGGAGAAGTGTACCACAGGTATCTTTGTCTTATTACACTTTCCTTCCCTATGCATTTTGATACAGATGTTTATGCATTTCTTGTAATAGATAAGCTTTAAAATAAATAGGACAATACAAACAAAGGCAATTATAGGAACAATGGCAGAGGAACATCTTGATGAGTGTAGTCAAGAGGATGAATTATTACCACCAATCAGGAACAGGGCTAGGTACAATAATTCACAGTATTCAGATACAATCTTTAACAAAAGTCTTGAGGAGTGTAAAGAGGAAGGATTTTAAAGAATCACCTGTATCCTCATGATCAGATAAAAGTTGGTGTCAGTTGAGCTCCATCTGAGAGAACTAACCTTGTGATAGGGAAAAGATCCACCAAAGTTGGGGGTGCATTGGATAGCAGTGGAAAAGCAGGGAAAGAAATCCAAAGAACAAAAAGGAAATAAACATGGAGGTAGGCTTGTCCTTTTCTAAAACCCAAAATGGCCATGAGTAAAACAAGGCCTTCTTTTCTTAAGACTACAGTAGCATACAGTGTAACAGAAAATATAGAAATATAGAATTTTCATAACAAAAGACATAGGAACAGCATACATATCAACAGAAGAAATTTAAATGGGACTCAGACCTAAGATTCCCCATATGACCTGCAGTAGAAAGGTAGCTGATGTGTTGATACTAACAGGAGAACATCTCTTGTTGCTGCCAAACTGGTTTGTCAAATACTTGGAATCTTAACTGATAACAGATGTACATGGGATCAGATTCCTGTGACCTAAGAAAGAGTAACAAACCGCCTCGTGTCAGATTTCTTTAGACCCTATTCATATGACAGAATTAATCCAGTGATTTCTTTTTTCAGTCAGTCTCAGCCCAACTTTAGATTTAATGTTAACAGTGAATAGGTTATGAAGTTGTAATGGCATGGCTGAGCCCTTAGGGCAAACAGCTGATGGTCTCCTCTCCCAGAAGCCCCGTGGGTGTACACACCCTGGCCATGCCTCCTTGCCTTCAGGTAAGAATTGGTAGTTTCTGCTGCCACCGCCTATTTTGCAGAGGCACCTCACCTAGCATTCTCCCATCTGCGTGTGAGAGCGTTCTTACTATTTGTATTGCCTTCTTGACAGTAAAAAAATTATGAACAAATTTCTATGATGCAACCTTTTGACCCTGAAGCTTACAGGCATGTGACTAAAAGTTTCAGCCCTTCTTTTGTCCCTTTTGGTAATAAATTAATTTTGCAAGAGATAAACAAAATCAAACTTTATTTTAAAAAAAAACCTCAAAGATATATGAAATCTAATTTACAAATCTATGTGCAATGTGCTTCGCAGACCACCAAGGATGTGATTGGCAGAAGCTCACAAGAACTCAAGGAGCAGCTACTGATAGTCCTGGAAAGAATGTCCATCAGAATTAGCAGCCACTAAGCTACTAAATAAGGGATCTCTTAGTTAACTAAATGAAGCAATTTGAAGAGCTTTCCATACACATAGATGACAGTTATGACTTAACAGATAATTATGTGGGAGGATCAAGAAGGAAAACATGAGGCCATATTGGTCTAATTCTCCCAGTCCAACCCCCTCCCCACTAAAAAGTAGGATGCTCACTTTTTCAGATAGAACTACCCCATTTGAACTATGAAAATCCGGAGGATCATTAGGTGGCAGCAGAGAGAAAAATATAACTCTCTGCTATCATTGCCCTTTGCAACTTGTCTAAACGCCCCTACGATAGCCCCTCTTGCACTTTTTTTTTACCGGCAGTGCTTATGTCTGCCAAAATACACAGCCTCCTGACTCCCAGAATCTAGACTTGATTGATCTGCGACCTCGATAAAAGTCATCCGGCCAAAGCTCCCTTCTCCGCCGGATTCGCAGGGAGGGCGCACAAGAGACTTCCTCCACCCGGAAGTGGATGCGACCGGTCGCCCCCGTAACGTCACTAATGCGCGCCCCAACCCGCTCCTAACAACAAGGTTCCTCGAGTGGCGGGTTCCCTGGTTACGAGGCAGGGATGAGTGATTCGGAGCGCGGCCCAGCCCCAGGTGAGGAGGATGGTG